CTCCCTATTTACAAAGACTTTATTTCCATTTTTTCATTTTCTCATATTTATTTCATTCCCTTCAGCCTACTCAACTTTAGGGTTTTTTTTTTTTGGTACCAGGGTTTGAATTCGGGACCTTGCACTTTCGAGACAGGTGGCAGAACCACTGAGCTAAATCCCCAGCCCAGCCTACTAAACTTTAAAAGAGTCAAATATCAAGACATCTTTCTTTCTCTTTAGATGTTTGAGACGAGCTCTCACTAGGTGGCTCACTCTGGCCTAGAACTTGGAATCCTCCTGCTTCAGCTTCCCCACTCATGGCCAGGACACCTGTTCATACTGGCCTGCCCCACCTGGTTTTAGGGTGCAGTGGACAGGACGAGAACAGAGCAGGAGGCTCGGTCAAAGGCCACGCAGGTACCTGTGGTGAGAGGCAGCTGTCCCACCACCCACACTGCCATTTCGCGCAGTATTTGGGGATCTTCCTTGAGGGCCCCAAGGGGATTCTCACAGGAGCCCCTGAGATGCCAGACCTCGGAGCCTTCAGGGAGACTTGATGCGGTGATGGTGTCCTGACTCCCACGAGGAGGGGCGAAAAGCATTCTGGGTGAAAACCAGGCGTAATCTACGCTTTCTAGTTTATAAAGTGACCTCGAGACTGTTCTGAAGGAAGCATCAGAGTGTTTGCCATAAACCTTCTGGCACACGTTTGATGTCCCTGTGTTCCTTAACTTGAAGTCTAAGTTTGACTGTGTCTCTCCAAACAATAGCCAGCCCCCTTCACTTATATGTGCATCAGGATAATTATGACATTTTAAAAGTGATCTGTGCATCCTCATGTTTATAGAAACACTGCTTATCATGGGTAAATCTTGGAAGCGGTCTGTGTGTCCATAAACAGATGAATGGGGAGAGAAAACATGGTATTTACACCCAATGGAGTACTACTCTCCCATAAAGAAGGATAAACTCCAGCCATCTGTAGGAAAATGGATGCACCTTGAGACCACAGTGTTAAGTGGAATAAATCAGACACACAAGCTTAAACATTATATGGTTTCTCTTATATGAGAAGCCCAAAGTATAAATAAAAGACAATAGAAAATAGGGGGGCAGATCTTTCTCAAAGGGGAAGAGGACCGAGAAATGGAAGGAGAAGGAGTGGGGAGAAAGGGGATGAGAAAACAGTTAAAAGATGTGTTACGTGTGTGAACCACCCCCACACAAGAAATGTAAACATTACATGCTGCAAAGGAAACTAAAATAAATTTTAAAAAGCTACAGATCTATCGGAAATCCTTAGTCCGTATTATAGAATCCCCCCTGTAGGTTATTGTATCGTTTCCTGTTTTTTATAGAATCTCCAGAGTGGTTAGAAAGAAACCATTAAATCAAGAAAGAAAGGGAAAAGAAAGAAAGCAGAGTCGTGTCACCTTAAGAATGGAAAAACCTTCAATACTGGATGGTAGTTTTCCGTCTTTTTACGTTTCAGGACGTTTAAGACAAAAATGCTGCAGATGGCTTCCTGTGTGTCTCTAGTGCCCTGTAGCTGTGTACCAAGGCGAATCCCACTTTTGTAAATCACTCAATATTGAAAACCAGTTGGGTAAACCCCACTCGGAGCGCCCTGTGGGTCATCGCAAGCCATTTGGCTCCGTTCATAAAATTAACAGAGTTGCGGGAAAGACACAGCCCAGCCGCCTTCCCGTGGCCTCCAGATAGGATGCCAGTGTGCGTGGGAGGCGTGCGGGTCCCGGGAAGGGCGACGGCCAGCGAGGGATCAGGATTCCACGCTTGTTTTTATTTCGAGATGCCTCGCTCATTCCCTCACTCGGCCCCTCCACTGCCAAACCCTGGAAGTCCATTCCGGGAGTGAAAGGAACACACATTCTCCACGTGGTGCCGGCTGCAGCTTTCCATCCGCCCTGTTACGCTATCCACTCTCAAGCTGTGAGATTCTGTAAGGAGAAAGTGAGAAAATGATGTTGCCTGCAAACTAGTTGTACGAGAGACTGTGCAGTAAGTCGTCAGAGCCCAGGATGCTCCGCAAAGCCGCCAGGAGAGGCTAGCGATCGACCTGCTCCCTCCTTCCGGGCAGCAGGGTTGCAAAGCCACGAGCCCCACACGGGTCTGGTCCCGGGCTCTGGACAAAACCGGGGAATCCCAGCGGCCTCCTCGGTGGCTGCCAGGTTTCTCCCTGTTGCCACCTAACAAATGCATCCCAGAAAACAGCCACTGTCCCCGAGAGCCCTGGTAAACGGACCCTTCCTCCGCCTCTACTCCCGATGTCGTGGCAGGGGCTTTGGGACACATTTTTGTCCCATTTCCATCTTAGGTGAGCAGAAAGAAGCAGGCGCCCCTCAAAGATGTCACGGGCTAGTGGGGTAACGTCCCGAACCCGCGCCTAAGCAGACGTCGCGTTGGTGTCCAGGTGCTTGGAGCAGCAGCTTTTGGATAAAATGCTTTTCTTTTTCCTTCCTTTTTTCTTCTGTTTTTGCAGAGCATACAAAAACCAACAGGGGAGGTTTCCAAGGGCAGAATCTGTAGACTCTGGGATCAAAGGTGTCACTGGGTTGGGTGGGGATGAACCCCGAAGGCCGGAGGAGAGAGCTTTCCTCCCCCGAATAAGTCATGGAGAAGACTGCGGGTTTGCTTAGCAAGATACAAGAAACTGAGTTACTTTACCCTTCCTGTGGATTTCCATTCAAACGGTGGGGTCTGGGGAAATCCTGGGGCCTCTGATTTCCTTCCAGTCGCAGTGAAAATGTTACAGGGTGCCATCCCTGTCCTGTAGCTCTCGGAAGAGTCTCTGCCACCCCATTGAGCCATTGGTTTGTTTTCTATAGCATTCATGTTCCGAAGTGGAGTTCAAGCCACCCCTTAGCACAACCGTGTCTGCTCGGACCCGTGCTGCTCTCCACTGTCCTGTCTTGGACATGCGGGGTCCCCCTGTCACTGTGGACCTGCACCCTAGCCTGATGCCAGGCCTGGGCTCATTTGTAAGCACCAAGGATTCAGCCCGAATCCGGCAGAGCTGCTCTCTCCTGGATTCATTTTAAAGCATTATTAAACATGTCCCTGCCCTCAGACCCCTTGGAGTTAAAGCTGCTGAGCATTGTTTTCCTGGTTCTTCCAAACTGTCATTGTTCGTCATTTCTAAGAGGGCAAAAGCCTAGGTCTCATTTTATTTTATCTTATTCTATCATTATTATTATGTTTAGTACTTTGAGACAAAGTCTTGCTATGCAGTTCAGGCTGGCCTTGAACACACTATGTAGCCCAGGCTGGCCTTGAACTCATAGCAATCCTCCTGCCTCAGCCTCCCAAGTGCTGGTGTTACAGGTGTGTGTCGCCACACCTGGGTTCCAGTTTCTTTTGAAATACAGAGAAAGTCATATAGAATGGAAGGGATATGGCAGTGGAACACTAACCCTTAGGAAATTACTAGCAATACTCTTGAGGCAAAATAAATTTCTAAGGATGGTTAAAGAAGATGCAGTGAAAAGTATTTCATTCCATGTTCAGAGTCAAAATCCTTTTTTTTTCCAGCCTTGGTCCAACCTTCCTGGCCCTTCCAACATCCTGGGTTTTCCACGAGTATAGTATCATTAACATTTCTGAGGAAGGTAGTAGTGAATATTCTGTCGATGCACTTTACAGTATTCTTTTTATTTAACCTCATGTTAAAAGTAGTCGCTTTTGTTCTTATAAGTGCCTTTGTATTGTTAGAATGATGGTTTAGCGCAAGAGTGTTGATGGGGATGTCTCAAGTTCTAATGCACAGGTTTTAAATCTCGTGTACCAAGCCAGTTCCCGGAAGTTGTGAGCGGCTGGACATCACTTCCTGTTGAAGTAGCAGTGGTGAGAAGTTGAGGTTGATTCTGTCCTCAATCGACTAATGCGCTATTTAATGAAGAGATGTCAGACTGCAGAAGCGCAGTCAATATAAATCAGTGTTCACAAAGTGTGATTAACTCTGAAATATTTCATCCATGCTGCGGCCCCCCTGGGCAGCCTCTCTGCTGATTACTAGAACCTGCCGGGCTCCAGGCTTGGGACGGACCCGGGCATCACAGCCCGGAGCGTTGGAATCGCACTTAGGCCCGGCCATCTCCGGTGAGGTGACAGTGTGTGCATTTGTGTGATGACCTCCTGTCCCAAGAGGGTGATAAGCAGAATGCATTTTCATTAAGATACTAATGCACTTAATCGCCAGGGGAGAGTCTGGGAAGAGGCGGGCGGCTGCCCACCGCCAGCAGGGGAGAGGCTGGGTTTCTAAGGCAGCTCCTCGGCAAGGCTGGGCTGGTCCACAGCCTAGTGCTGTCACCAAATGGAAAACATTCAGAGTTCGAATCTTCTTCTGATTCTCTATCTAGCATTTCTAACACACAGGCGTTACCATGACTATGTAAAAAAGAATGTAACTTCGTAGCAGTGTATGGTCCATAGCGTTCCCATGGGGCTTGAGTGTTTGGGATGAAGGATGTGGATAAGTCACTGACATCACCACCACCACTGGGGCTGTCAGTACACATTTACTGAGCGGGGAATTGTGCTGTCCACTTCCGTCGTTCTCAAAGCTCCAACAGCTGCGTTTCTGTGTCCATCCTCTAAGAGCTGGCCATGGCAAACCAATCATTTTGCACTGCACGGTTTATGACTCTGCGTGTCAGAAAGACAGTAAGCCTCATGCACAAAGTCTTTAGTCTCCACAAGAAAAAGTCCCGGAGTGACAATACAAGGTAGAGTTTGGGTTTGTTTATTTTGGAGACAGGGTCTCACTCTGTAGTTCAAGCTGGCCTTGAGCTCACTGTGTAGCCCAGGCTGGCCTCCAAATCTCGGCAATCCTCCTGCCTCAGCCTGTCCCTGGTGCCGAGATCACAGGCGTGCATTGCCCAGCCCGGTTCGTAGCAGCAGCAGGCACAGGGCTTCCCTGGGCAGGAGGCAGGGGGAACAGACCTGAGGGTTTCTGGGTCTCCCGAGACTAACACCGCTCTCCTTCTGACCCCTTGTCCTAGGTAACATAGAATACAGCTGCCCTGCCACAAATGAGTGCGAGATCACCAAGCGCAGACGCAAGTCCTGCCAGGCGTGCCGCTTCATGAAGTGTCTGAAAGTGGGTATGCTGAAGGAAGGTAAGGGTCTGCTGGGGGCCCCCCGCGCCTCAGGCTTGGGGGCTGGGGGCCGAGGGAACCACACCAATGCCAGAGACTCCAGGGAAAGATGGGTCCAGGGGGTGGCGCCCCTGCACCTGAAGGCGCTGTAGCCGGGGCTGCCTTGACATCAGGGAGCAGGGACAGGGGAGGACCCGCTGGGGCACAGGATTGTCCTGCCCTCCAGCCCACTGCTCGGAGAAAGGGGAAGCAAGACCAAGGCGAGGCTGCTGGCACTACCTGCCTGCTTTTCTTCCCCTCGTGAGGTCCAGAGAGCTCTGGCATCACGATTATCATCGTCACTATCCGTGCATGCCTTGCTCTTTTCCAGCCTTGTCTTTTGGACTTCTCTCCCACCTGTGTTTTTGGTGTGATATTAGAGTTGCTTTTTACTGAGGGATGAAAAGGGTGAATACAGAATGGTAACGGGGACGTGTATTCCATGCCAAACACATCGCCTCCGCTGGCAAAGGGAATAACTGGGGAGTCAGGAATGGAACCCCGGACTCTGGATGCCTCTCAGCAATGCCGCAGGTCAGAGGTCCTGGGGTTTCTGTATACTGCAGTGTGTCTGGTGAAGCGCACACTACAGCTTGGAGACAGAGGAAAAAGTCTTCTCTCCTCTGGAGGAGAAGCTCCGCACTTGGTTCCTGACCTCTCTGTGCCCCTGTCCATGTGTGTGCCCCACAGGTGTGCACGCTACACCTGCACTGAGGCTTCTCTTTCTTCTGAAAATCCACCAGAGCTTAAAATAAATGTCATTTTATGAGTAACAAAGTGAAAATGTGGTACATTAGCCTGAAAGAAGCCTGTAATCCTAGCACTCTGGGAGGCTTAGACAGGAGGATTGAAAGTATGAGTACAGCCCGGGAAATTTAGGGCCTTAGCAAGACCCTGTCTCAAAAAAAAAAATGAAAAATGAAAAAAACCTCAGTGTGAAAGCCCTGGGTTCAATCCCTCATACCGAGAAGAAAAAAAAAAAAGGAAGAAAATTCGGTCAATGAAATATTTAAATGTATAGTTTTTATTACATCAAAGAAATAGGCTTTGTTCCTGAGATTTGCCTTATAAGAAATCCTCATATTTTGTTGTTCCTGGAGAGCATTTCGTTTGGCCTTGTAAAGCCAGATAGACCCCGGGAGAGTTCACCTTGTTGGACAGAACTGCAGGCGACTGATGTTTCCAGGTCTCCTGATCTGAGCGGTTTCTGGTTTCCGCTCCAGAACTTCTGCCCGAGACCTCCACATAGGAGGATAAGGAGCTCAGAAGTTTGTCAGGGTCACGGAATTCACGCCAGATTGATCCTATCTTCTGTGCCCAGCAGGAGGAGCAAAGACAACTCTCTCCACCGCTCCTTGTCTTGCTCCTTGTCTTCTTGATTGGGCTCTTCCCTCAAAAAAGAGCTGCAAACAAACAAACATAGATAGCATCAAGAAGAGGCAACAGGAGAAAAATAAACAAGTTGTCAGTTTAGGTCTCTGTGGTAGGGAGCCATGGGAGGCCCTGGCCTCCCATGAGCCTGGTGCACACAGACAGGGCAGCAAGGCCCTGGGTTCCACCCGCCAACAGAAAAGCAAAGGAAAAAAGAAAAAGAGGCCAGGGAGTAATTTGCCCTCTAGCCTTTAGCACTCTGGGTTTTTTAGTTAACATGTTTTAAACTCCTATTTTGTTTGCTAAATATTTGCAGTGCTATAGATCCAATAGATGGAACCTAGAGCTTTTTTCTTTTTTCTTTTCTTGGACAGAATTTCACTATTGTTGCCCAAGCTGGCCGTGATCCTCCTGCCTCTGTCTCCTGAGTAGATGGGACTGCAGTGGCATGCCGCCATGCTGGGCTTGCTGCTGAGTATTTGAGGCGCTCTCATGAGCCAGGCACTGTTCTGGGCCCCAGTAGCCTTGGCAGTGAAGACTTACATGAAAATGCTAAAACAACCATTTTTCCAGATGTATATATGCACAGTCACAAATGCAGATAAATCGGTAAAGTGTTGCAATCCCTTGTGACAGTTTCCTTCGTGCATTAACACACTGCGATCCCATCCATCCCTCCGTGCCCCTCCATGCCCCAACCCTTCCCCTGGCCCCTGTACCTGTCTAATCGCCGCCCCGCCCCCCCAGCTTCCATCTGTGACAAAGGCAACCTCACCCACCCCCACCCAGGCCAGAAGAGCAAAACAGGTTCTTCTTCTTGCAGTGGGGGTAATAGGTGACTTTTTCAGGTGAAATACTTTGTCCTTGCCACTGCTTCCGTCCTGTAGGAGAATAACGAATGAAACCTCATTCGGAATGTGGGTTCTATCCCGACCACACTAGCAAAACAAACAGGCATAATTCAGAGTGTGATACGTGGTGGACAGTCCATTTTTGTTTTCTTTGTGTCGCCACTAACATCGGACTGTGATTCGGGCTACACTTAGGCACATTCACAGAAACTTAACAAAGAGTGGGTTCAAACTTGAATGCTGAGAAACTTTTAAAAAGCAAGTAAATTGGTAAGTGTGCTAAAAGTGATTATCAATGCGCACCTTTTGCATGTCCTAGATTTGGACTTTATTTTCTAAAAAACAAAGCACCTGGACAGCCTCCGTTTGTAAGGCAGTGGGAGTTTTGATTACTTTGATTCCTTGGGTGTAATTTGCTGAACTGATTGTGTTTCTGGGCTTAGGGAGGAGGAAAAAGAAAACATTTCCCTTGGATAGATTTTCCCATTGTGATATAGGGTCTCCCTATGTAGTTCAGGCTGGCCTTGAACTCACTATGTATCCCAGGCTGCCTTCAAACTCACAGTGATCCTCCTGCCTCTGCCTCCTGAGTGCTGGAATTATAGGCTTACTGTCGTGGTTTCTAACAGGAGCCAACTGAAGGGTGGTGAGAATGGAGGAAGAGTGTGAACCCTGGTAACTCGGCACCCCGGGTCCGAGTAAAGGGCAGCACTCACGGACAATTCCCACCTCTCCAGTCTTGCCGAGCCAGCATCTGTTTTCAAGGCAATTGCTGCTGTTTCTGATATTCTCAAGTAACAGTTTATTTTCCTTCAGTTTCTTCTGTCCACTTGGATGGCAAAACTTCTGTGCGGTGAGCCCCTCTCCCCTCTCCTCCAGATTGAAAAGATGGGCTCTTTCTGAGTAAATAAGGAATATTTTCTTTTCTTTTGTACCTAAAAAATGCGGTGAAATATTGATTTCGCCCTGCATACAAATGCACAATTATGTGTGGCTGTCTCCTTGGCTCCAGCCTGGCTTTCGGGGACTGGAGAGAATGATACTGTCTTAAATGGGCCTTTATGGATGCACAGGGATTTCGACCCGTGCAGGATGTCAGAGATCTGGATGCAGTAAATCTATTCAAATGTAAACCTGTTCGGTTCAATTACCGGTCCATAATAAAATTTGCTGCAACAACCCCCGTGTTGACCGCAGTGGTCCATACAGGCGGATAGAACAGTGGGGCTGGAAATTGACAGGCAAAAATCTATTTAAACAAAGAGCAACATTAGTTCTAGAATCTGAAATGAAATCAGATCTCAACAGCTTTGATGGGAACCTTCTCCCCTGGAACAGGTATTTTGCTTCAGCTTGCGAAGTGTACCACAGATGAAGCGCTGCCTGGGGGAATGAAGGAGGTTGGTGGCTTATAGAAAAACGAGACCTTTGTTGTTTGAGAAATAGTGACTGTTAGTTATAGTGACTGGCATTTTGAGTGACTGAGGCACAGCGCTTTGAGGAGCCGAGTGTAGGTTGGTGGCAGTGTATTCCAGTTGTATCACATTCTGCAGAATTGTATTCTTATAAATTATGCCTTCTCATAGCCGGCACCAGAATTATATCTGAATGAAGTGTGCTTCATTCTTTTATTAATACAGTTTGTGAGTCAAAAAGTAGTTTCCAGTTGAAGGAAAAAGGAAAAAAACCCAACAAACAATTGTGTTGGAGAAAACAACAAAATGCTATACTGTGATAAACTTGGAGAAGCGCAGTTAAGCAAATAGTAATTTGTTCAGAGCCAGGTGGTAGGACCAATCACTCAGCACCCTGCAGACCCCCGGTCTGTCTCCCAGCCGGGCGTGGTTCCCTAGTGTACCTCAGAGAAAACCCACCTGTCTCAGGGTATCTGCTCCCAACACCACTTTTCATTTTCTTCAGGTGTTGCTTATTTGAAAGAAAAAACACAAGAACTAATCAAGGTGTACCTATAAATCTGCCCTGGATTTATTTTTATTTTGACCTCTCTCCTTGGTTATTTAAAGGCTGCCGTGGGACATTCTGGTTCCGTTTTCTCTCTGTCCGTGGCAAACAGAGAGGTTTTATGAAAGCAATAGTTATTTTATGTAGGTGGAGAACTCACTGATCACAGCACTGAAGGATGTTCTGATATTTACTGGCACAGTGGTGTTCACTGTGGCATTCAAGTGTCTTCCTCTTACGCTCACATTTACACATGAGAGTGCATTCCCTGGCCAGCCAGGCTCCCAGCAGAGGCAGGGTGAGCAGACAGCACAGTTCAGACAAGAAAGTGTGTGTTTACCCGCTCAGCCTTGTGATCCTCCTTTCCTGATCTGGAAAATGATCCTATCAGCTGGGCGTGGTGGTGCACACCTGTACTCCCAGCACTGGGGAGGCTGAGGCAGGAGGATCTCCGTGAGTTTAAGGCCAGCCTGGAATACATTTCAAGACCCTATCTCAAATATATCTATATTTATATCTGTATCTCTAGATATAGATATAGATAGACAGATCCACAGATCTGTGATGGTATTTGCATATAAAGTGTGAATATCACAAGGTACTGCAGGGGCTCGGGGTGCTGCTCAACGGTACAGTGCTTGCCCGGCATGTATGAGATCCAGGTTCATGCTCAGGGCGACCAGTAAAGACACCGACACAGAGCTGCCTGCTGCAGACCGCGTGCGTGGCAGTCCTGTGGCCAGGAGTAAGGGCTGGGTCCACAGTAGCTCCTGATGCCGAAGTGGGCCCCAGTCACAC